TGATTTCGCCATCATTGTGTGCGTTTTTTTTGTATCGCATTCCAGTTAGCTATTCGCTGCTTACAATTGACCTTTTCACTACATCATTTCCGATAGCTGATACTGGAACGTGTGGCATTCACTAGAAAATTGGCTTCTGAGCTTGAGGCAGCAATGGAACCCGTTTTGAACTACAACATTCAGGACAGTCTTGAGTAACCGCACTTGGAATTATGTCAGCTATTACCAAGGGGATCAGTTCATTCGTTATTGTTTGCAAATTTTGCCCTCCTCTCCGCACAAGATCATCTTATTTGATAAGTTGGCTGCTTTTGCCGCTAGATCTTCGCGTGGTAATTTGTTCAGTAAGGTTCATATTCTCCTTCCTACTTGGAGCTAAAACATTGTAGCCTTCCTTTAATTGCAAATTCAGTCGAAGATTGCAACTCTTTCACTGATAGGCCACCATTCAACTATAGTCAGCAGATTCTGCTCCATCAGAACATCATTGTCGGCCAAAGCGCTGACCTGCATCCCTGGGTAACATAGGTTCAATCTTCAAAGTTGTATAATTCTCAAACTCTGGTGTTTCTTCGATGGGAATCAAACGATGTTCAGTCAGTACCCTGCGGCCTCAGTAACAAGTTTCTGCTCTTTCCTTCTGAGTGAAGACATTTTCCAATTTGGGATATAAGATGCTACTGACGTTGTCGGTACTCTAGAACCGTGTTCGACGCGCTGTGACATCATCGTACTAATTGACGCCTCCGCGACGGGTAACAACTCCCTTGCGCTCTGGTATTTTTGTCATCTTCCATACATAATTTTCAGCAGTCGCCATGCTGCTACATTCCCAGCTGCCAGAAAACGCTCTTGAACTTTTGACCGTCGACTTCACACAGTCTACCTCAGTTCTCCAACGGGTAGAGAGGCCCTTAATTATCCGGGCGACTAATAACGCAGTATGAGGTTCGATAAAAGCAATACCGTTATGGATAATTCATTATTTTGATGCGAGACTTT